CCCAAAACCAGTCCAGCTCGTCCCTGCCTCCCTAACCTGTTCTTCCTCCCACCTATCCCCTCCTCCCACCTCAAGCCGCACCTCCATCTCCTACCGACCAACCTCATCCCGCCCCCTTGACCTGTCCGTCCTCCCTGGACTGACCTATCCCCTTCCTAACTCCCTACCTACACTCACCTTTACTGGCTCCATCCCCGCCTCTTTGACCTGTTTGTTTCCTCTCCACCTATCCTCTCCTCTATCCCTCTTCTATCCGCCTCCCACTCTCTCCCTATTTATTTCAAAACCCCCTTCCCCTCCCCCTTTTCTGATGAAGGGTCTCAGCCCGAAACGTCAGCCTCTCTGCTCCTATGATGCTGCTTGGCCTGCTGTGTTCATCCAGCCCTGCACCTTGTTGTCTCGGATTCTCCAGCATCTGCAGTTCCTACTATCTCTGGTTTAAAGTCCTTTTAGGTGTCTTTGAGGTGTAAGGTTTTAACCTGAGAAGAAAACTGGTTAGTTGATTAATTGGACCAATCAGTCGTGAATATTGCAGTTATATTTTAAGCTCTCATTTTCTCATGTTCCTTATCAGTTTGGCAGTCAGTGTTACCAGGCACTTTTTGTCTTGCAGACATAGACAGAGACACAGAGAGAGAGAGAGAGAGAGCGAGGCACAGAGAGAGACAGACAATGCTGCCACAATTCTGTTTGTTCTCAGCCTGTGCATCTTTTGCATCTTTCGTTCTCTTTTGCCAAAAAAGAAAAAAACCTTGAAATAGTAGTATATTTGTTTGCATATTCTATCTGACATTTTTGCTATTCCAGACGTAGATTGTAGGCAACGTGTCATCTTTAGCGTGTGAAGATTCTCATAAATGGTACACATCAAATTGATGAAGGCTCCCAGACGGCCAGGTTGACTGGTTTCATTGCCCTTTGATAAAATGTTAACTTCAGTTCTGACTGTCTTTTATCTAGTCTATGTCAATTTCAACGTCATTGTAAGGTAGCATTTTTGTTTCTTTTTAAAATCATTGCAGTCGATGGAAGATCCAATGTATTAAATCAGCCAAAGATTTAAATATCAATCATCAATATTTTATAGGTGGATCTGCTGCCACTGCAACTGCAAGGGAGTGTGCTACCCAGACAGTCACAGTGCCTATGATGTCACTGCCAGTGATATGGCAGAATTTGTTCCGTGGCTCCATACTCTAAGTTTATTTAATGTAGCAGCTTGATGCCCCCAAAATGAATTACAAAACCACTGATCTAAAAGAGCATTCAAAGAGCTGTTTACACAGAAATAACCGAATAGTAGCAGTTACTGAAATAAGGACAGAAAAAATGCTCTGTACGCTGACCAGCAATAATCATTTTAAGTTAATTAAAACCTTCAATCCTAACTAAACATAAACTTTCTGTGTGCTTCCAGAATTTTCTGTTCATGTTTTAGATTTCCAGTATCTGCAGTACTTTGCTTTTGTTTTTTTTTTCCACTTAAGCAGCTGAATCATTTGAGATCTGCAGCATACCTCTGAGTCACCAATAGCAACACGCCAGTGAGATATATGGCACCAATTCCTCACTACCTCTGGAGATGGAGCACAAACTTACGATGGATAACAAACATGGATGATGATCCTATGCAACTTTCCTATTTACCACGAAGGACTACACAATCAAAACCAGATGAGTCATTCAGATTTTAAAAAAGGGATCATGGGCCAACCTCACAAGTATGTGAATCCACAAATAACAAGGATTAAATCTAGTTGATTTAAAAGAAAAATGGTGATTAATAACATTAAACCACAGAAGAAAAAAAGAAAAGGTAAATGATCAGATAATTTCTCCCGTAAAATGGCTCAGTAAAGCTAAATTCTCATTAACAATACAATTTACTACATGTTGACGAGTTTATAACACGTGGATCAAAATACCCATTTGGAAATTTTTATACTTATTACTGCTTGGTTAATCCTGCATTCGACCACCTAAAAATTTAACAAGAAACAGAAAATATGAATCATGTTTAGAATATACATAGTTGTTCGCAGGTGGCATTTGGCAGAATACTTCTGTTCTTTTTCTTTATTATTTGTTCACAGGCTGAGGGCATCGCTGGCTAGGCTAGCATTTATTATCCATCCCTAGTTGCCCAAAGGGCAGTTGAAAGTCAATTACATTGACAAAGGTCAGTTGTATTCAGTCTGGTAAATATAACAAGCAGATAACTGGGAGGGTTTTTAAGTTTGGATTAAAAAAGGTATATGCTCTAATTTATAAAGGTATGTTCCTTTGTATACCTTGCACTGAAATTTTATTGTTTGATCAAACATCTGTTAAAACTGAATAACTTAATGACTTAATTTAATGTAAATAACTGCTTAGTAAATACTCCATAATGTTTCTGAACTACTAAAGCTGAAACCTTGCTACCAGTTGATAAATTTATTGCCAAGTATAAATAAACTGTAACATAAATATGATATATTTCAAATCATTTGAAACCATCTAAGCTTCTCTACATTTCAATTACAAATGTAATCAAAATTAGATTTAAAAATTAGGATGACATACATATTCCTTTGCACAAAGAACTCAGATATATCATAGCAATTTGAATGTGAACAGAAAACAGCTGGGAGAAAAGTGCTGGGAGGCTAAACCAAAATAAAAAGAATATTTAATTTCCAGCATTAATATGATGAATATAAAAATGACGTGAGCCAATTTATATTGTTGCTATAGGAAGCATTTACACATATGGTTGTCTCACAGTGCCTCAAACAAACATTATGACACACAAATTTGTGTAAAATAAGTTAGAACAGTAATCTAGAAAATTGTGGTCAATATACTGAACTGATCTCGTTTGAGAATAGACTAATTGTTTAGACCCAGATGGGGGTGGGCACAGAGCAGGTAAATAAGTAAATTCACCCCAACAGTCAGTGCGCTGCATGACACCACAGCCTATTACTTAGAGGCAGTATGGAGTTTGGGGAATGACAGGGTGGCAGGCTTACCCATCCACCATATCCTGCAGTTAGTCATTTTTAATTTGTTATTCGTTAAAAGGCCCATTAAAGATTACTGTCAGATGCCAAATGAAACTTCCCAAATCTTTGGCCATTACTTGGCCAACTCAAGAAAAATATTACAATTACAGAGTGGAGGCTTCTGACCCTCATTTGAACATGTTAATAGTGTTCTAAAGCCCACAGAGGAAATCCTGTCCAACGTCTTTATGTACTCAGATATAATTAATTTCACACTGACAATATGGCAATTTCAAAAGTAGATATCATCATATATACTTGTGTCACAGTCATACTTTGTGGGCATTTTATATACTTTAACATGGTACATCAGTGGCAATACTGGACATTCATCTATGCAAATCTCCTTTTGTTGATATTATCAATTTCCCTGTTGCATTATATATAGAAAGTATACTAACCTTTTTTGCTCCATTAGAAAGCTTAATCATTCTATCAACGTATTCACGAGCTTTATCATGACGCCCAATATGCCAAAGGAAGAGGCCCGCAAAATACAATGCCGCCTGTCCTGCAGTTTTCCGGTCTTCTTTTAGTTTGCTATCAAGCTCATGAATGGCATCACGATCTTTTTATCAATGCAAAAACAAATCAATTTCAGGATTTCTGTAACTAAATTCAATGCTCATCTACGTGATATAATAAGCCTTTATTTCATGATACATTTTATTTAATGAAAATATTGTTTTACATCTTTCAGCTAGTATGCATACTCAAACAAAAGCTTTTAGATGTAAATCCCAGATGTCCTCCTATTTCAAGGATAGTAATTGCCCTCTCTGGTGATCAAAACTGCCCTCAACTGCATCTCTTGCAATTCCCGCACCTCTGCCCTCACAACCCCTTCTCCCAACAAAAATAAAGACAAAATCTCCCGTGTCCTCACATATCACCCCACCAACCTCCACATCCAACGTATCATTCTCCGCCACTTCCGCCACCTACAATCCAACCCCACAACCAAAGAAATATTTCCCACCCCACCCCTATCTGCCTTTCATAGGGACCGCTCTCTCTGCGACTCCCTCGTCTGCTCCGCACTCCCCACTAAATCCACAACCCCCGGCACCTTTCCCTGCAACCGCAGGCAGTGCTACACCTGCCCCTATACCTCCCTCCTCACCTCCATTCAAGGCACAAAACAAACCTTCCGCATCAGACAGGGGTTCACCTGCACGTCTGTCAACTTGGTCCATTTCACGTGCTGCTCCCGAGGTGGCCTCCTCTACATCACTGAGACCAATCAGAGACTGTTTTGTAGAGCACCTGCACTCTGCTCGTGACAAACGACAGCACCTTCTGGTCGTGAACCATTTTAACTCTCCCTCCCACTCCCTGGGTGACATATCCATCCTGAGCCTCCTCCAGTGTCACAATAGTGCCACCCACAAACTGGAGGAGCAGCACCTCATATTCCACCTTGGGACTCTGCCCAATGGCCTAAATATGGATTTCACCAGTTTTCAAATCTCCCCAACCCCAGCCTCATCCCATGTCCAACTCTCCCTTTCATCTCCGCCTCCTTGACCTGACACAACCTGTGCACCTTCTCTCCCACCTGCCCCACACATCCCACTGATCAATCCCTACCTGGACTCACCTACCACCATCCCACCTACCTTCCCCAGCCCCACCTCTCCTCTCTCTATTTATTTCTGAGCTCCCTTCCCCCTCCCCATTTCTGAAGAAGGGACCCGATCAGAAACGTCAACTTTCTTGCTTCTTTGATGCTGCCTGGCCCGCTGTGTTCCTCCAGCTTCACACTGTGTTACTCCTTTTTAGATGTAAAGTTTTGTTTCTCCAGTGGTTGAGAACAATGTCCAGAAAGTGGTCAAATAATGCACAACACAGAGGTCACAGTTCGATCCCAATTTGTGTTAAGGTAACTAATCTCAATAAGAGAAGCACTCATGAAAATACAACTAACTACATCATCTGTGTCATAGTGATGAATACATCCAGAGTTCCCACTGCTGATTACGTTCTGGCTCAGTTGTTATGCTAGCATGTAGCCCCAGAGCTTACTCAAAGTTTAGACTTAAATTGTGACAACTTTGGAGTGACTGGATCCATGCCACAGCAAATGTCTAATGATTTCTAAAAGAGGACAGGAAAAAAAATTAGTAAAGGTGTATCATGGGAATCATATTTTTAACAAAAATAAAAAGAAAGTGATAAAACCTGGCTATTTCAGAAAAAGGAAAAATACTAAAGTTTATACTTTCACTGATGAAAAAGGTGGTTTCTGGGTAGAAAATATTATGGTAGATACTTTCAGAAAAGAATAAGCTACAAATATAAAGAAGTGAAAAAGAAATGATCAATACAACAGGGATTCTTCATTGAATTTAGCAGAATTCCCTACTTACCTTTATTTTACATTCTACCGTGTTAATTTTCTTTAAAGTAACATATTCAGTAGTCATATATATCATGAAACTAATATAAGGCAACGTTCTTCTAATTAGATGAAAATTATAGATTCCAGGGTTTCAAAAGTTCATAAATGAACCAACCACACAGAAATTAGGTAGGAACATGTATAAAACGTAGATTGCCTACAAACAAGTTGGGTTGGACAGTTTTTAATCTCAGGCTAAATCCTCAAAATTTGTTTATTATTCAGTTAGGGACAAATAAGTTTTTAAAGTTGAGAAGATTCGTAGCTCAGGTTGTGGATGTGGTTGTAGACTTGCTCGCCGAGCTGATGTGCTTGATTGCAGACATTTCATCATTTTGTTAGATAACATCGTCAGTGGCCTCTGGTGAAGCGTTGGTGTTCTGTCCTGCTTGTTTTTATATGCCTCGGTTTGCTGGGGCGGTTGGCATTACCCCAGCAAACCAAGGCATATAAACAACAAGCGGGACAGAACACCAATATTTCACCAGAGGCGCACTGACGACATTACCTCGCAGGGTGATGAAAAGCCTGCAACCAAGCACACTGGCTCGGCGAGCAAGTCTACAACCACAAATAAGTTTTTGTTTAAAGTAGACAAAATTTGAAATCCCGGTTGACTTTCTCAGAGAATAAAGCCAAAAAGTTCCATAATTTTTAAACAAGCAGAATAAATTTTACTACAAAAATGCATCAAAGCAAATTACAATACGTCTTGTAAATCCAGAATTAATAAGAATATTTGAATTAACTGGAAAACTGTAGCCAAACAAAACACAAACTGCATATTAAATAGCAGATACAAAGAAGACAATTCCACAAATTTCTCAGCAATAAACTCAGATCCGATTGAACTTATAGTAGCAGAAATTCTTTTGCACTGTCACTCTCACAAGGGCTTTAGTTCTTCCCTTTCAAAGATCTAGTCTCTGATTTCCATCAAAAGCCTTAGGCTACCTCGATGACTACATAGGACATAGAGCAATATAGGATGATAACAGGCCCTTCGGCCCACCTTGTCTGTGCCAACCATGACGCTATTCTAAACCAATTCCATCTGCCTACACATGGTCCATACCCTGCTATTTTCTGCCTGTTCATGTGATTGTTTAAGTACTTACCCACCAATTGCTCACTCCTTTTTCATAGCACTATGCCACTGGAATCACAAGACTATGGTCTAGCATCTAATTGCCTACACAATTCCAGCTGTCCAGTTGCTCAGGGCAGAACCACATTATTGATAGGCCTTAATAGCCCTAACTGCCTCGCAACCGGCAGCCTCCTGTTGCCTTCTAAGCTCCTGAGTGGCTTCCTGAGCACCAACTGCTATGCAGCCAACTAAAAGCAGTTTTCCTGCATGGAATCTTGAGCTCCCAACTTCGAATCTTGCTACTAATTATCACTCTGACTGTTTACTGACCGTTGAATTGATTTGTGTGACCTATTAAAATATCCCAACATGCCTATCCTGTTGCAAGGCAAAACTAAATGTTGTAACCATCGGAACATTCTTTGACTTGAATGTTACAATCTCCAGTGAAACAAATGGTCATTCCCCACAGCTGCAAACTTACAAAATACAGAGATAGGGAAAAGAAATTGACTGCATCACAGTATCATAAATAGCATCAAATCTAAATTAACATACTTGTAATGCAGGATCCTACTTCATCTCTTAGGTTTATTGTCTCTACTCTAAAATTTATTATTAATTAATCTATGAGACATACACTCACCTGGAGCTAAACTTTTCTTATGAGCATAGATTAGAGCCATTATAGAGCACAGAGACACATCCGGCTTTTCTTTAACAGTCTCGAGCTCACGGATAGCTTCTTGAATTCGGTCTTTGTGTGCACAATAAAGACATTTTTGAATTGTGAAATAAGTTTTGTTATTGGTTGGTGCTTGAATAATATAAAGATATATTTAGCAATTACTTTGCAATGAATTACCTTCCATAAGAACACCATAAGCATGAAAAAACAAGAACACCGCATCATTGCCATATTTTTTGAGTCCCTCGTCTGCTGCGATCTGGATGTGATTAAAATATTTCTTTTGGCAGTAATAGTTTATTACAGCCTGCAAAAGTAAAAATATTCAAATAAGTACACTGAATTTTTCTTTGAAGTCTTCTCCAAGTATTTGCTCCTCCTCCACTTGTTCTTTTCACATGATGGTTTACTTCCATTCAATTACCCCTTACACAACTGGATGACCTTACATGAAAAGAAAAACAGATGCTGTCTGAAGTTCATTAACCATGTTACACACAAAGATATTAAGAAATGCACTTAAGCAACACAAAATGAACATTTATATAACTCTGGGTAAGGGGGTAGTTTTGGAATCAGTTAAAATCTCTTTCATTAAAATCTTATATTTGGATGACAAGTTTCTCCATATATACAGCCTGCTTCTAACAGAGATTCATGATTACAGAAATATCAGCTTTGGTTAGAATAATACCGATTATAACAATGTCACAGCACACCCATCCTAATACTTACTTCCAGATTTTCATCACCATTTACAGCAGTAAAGTGACATGCCACACCAGCTAGCACTCCACACTGGGAGAGGTACAACTCTGATTTGCAGCTACAATTTTTCATTCAAATTGTCAATCTCACCTTCATAAACAGGACAAAATGCCAAACGATATCAAATGTTTCTTGAGTAAGGAAAGGAAAGTTAAAGACAAAAGAAAGCAGGGGATGTAACAGCATGAATAGATTAAAAGGCATAACTTTTGAGGAAGAGAGTGACACAAACTTACAAATCAGGAGCAGGAGTAAGCCATTCAGTCCCTCAATCCTGCTCCACCATTCAATAAAATCATGGCTGATCTGATTATAATCTCAAATCCACATTCCTGCCTACTGTTGATAACATTTCAACTCCTTGCTTAACAAGAATCTATCTACCTCTGCCTCAAAATATTCAGGGATTCTGCTTTTCAGGAAGACAGTTCCAAAGACTCTTGAATCTCAGAAAGAGCGTTAGCCTAATCCTGGTTCCAAATGGACAATCCCTGATTTTTAAACAACGATCCTTAGATCTAGATTCTCTCATAATGTCTTGTTTCAATCAAGTCATCTCTTACTCTTCTGAACTCAAGTGGATATAAGCCTAACCTGTCCATCTTTCCTCATTAGGCAACCTCTCATTCCAGGTATTAATCTAGTAATGCTTCTTTGAGCTGTCTCCAGTGCTTTTGTATCCTTCTTTAAATAAGGTGACTAATACTGTGCACAGTACTCCAGATGCAATCTCACCAGAGCCCTATATAAGTGAAGCATAACATTCTTTCTTTTGTATTCAATTGCCCAATTCAATAAATCATAACATACTATTCGATGACCTAATTATTGGCCATACATGTATACACAGCTTTTGCAATTCACACATGAGGGCACCCAGGATTCCTCTGAATTTCAGAGCTCTATAATCAGATAACATGCTTCTTTTTATACCTGCTGAAATTTCAAATATTCACACATTATACTTCATTTCCCACATCTTTGCCTATTCACTTGACCTATCAATAACTTTGTTGCCTTCTTGTGTCCTCTTCACAGCTTACCTTTCCTACTTATTCGTGTTGTCAGCACAATGGTACTGATAAAGAAACATATCTGAACAAAGGCAACTATTAATAATGTCAGCAAATATTAGGGCCACAAAAGATAATTGTATAGTTACTACTTGATTTAATGCAATGCTGAGGGAGCTGGAAATGGATCTAATGGAAAATATGAGCTTGGAAAACACAATGATGGAAATGGGAGAAATCCAGAAACTGAAAGCTGGTTGGAAGTGGGGTGAAAGGAGTTAATATGACTAACTGCAAGGACAGTGGTAAAGGTGGCAACAGGTGTTCCATGAAATCTCAGTCTTAATCCACAATATTAATGTACAGAAGATCTTGGTGATTGACAGAAGGAACAAAATGTGCTTCAAAATTGTCCCCTACTTCAAACTTGACAACTTGAGGTCCTGGTGGCTTTTCACCCTCAGCCTCATCTGCATAGCCTCCATCAGTGCTCCTTCAAACTAAACATAAATCAGCGATTGGTCAAAAGGTGGAAGGAGTTTATCAACCTTTAGGAAGACATCAATATGCAACATAGAAATGATTATTCATATTGAAACAACTTGCAAGAATTGCTGGTGGATACAAGGAAGATAAGGGAGATTGTGAGTGAGAGCACAGAAAAAGCTGTGTAGCAGTCTAGCTGTGACCGAGTACGTAACATCACCATAGGTCTGATTTTTACTGATTGGCCAAACGTAAAGCAAAAGTTAGGGTCAGCAGCGTATGGATTTCTGTGGGCAGTGAGGGTGTGCACATCCTTGGATACTATGGGCAATTCAGCATAGCCAAACCACCTAATCTGCACATCTTTGGAATTAAGGAAAAGCAGGCAAAATGATCAACAGCAAAGACAACAAAGGAGAGAAATAGCTCTAGAATCCGGAAAAGTTTGATTCAGCAACTCCTTGGAGATACTTTTACAAACAATCAGCTAAAAGGGAGAATCCTTTTTCAAGCAGAAAGGCAGCAGAGTTCAGCAAACATTACCAAGTGTAAAAGTTGTAAGTGGCAAACATTATAAACAGTCAAGGGGTCCTTGCAAGATTCAGTATAGGAATAGATTTCATGGCCTTACACAATCTGGAAAGGTAAGTTGAGTTGGTCGCAAGCTGGAAGGCCAGCATTATTAGGCAATGGATGAAATAAGAAATAGTTGGAACTGTCGATGCTGGAGTCTGAGATAACAAGGTGTGGAGTGGATGAACACAGCAGGCCAGGCAGCATCAGAGGAGCAGGTCTGGACCCCTTCTTCAGAAATGGAGGGGAAGGGGGCTCTGAAGTAAATAGAAAGAGGGGGAATAGAAGGTGAATAGTGGAACAGGTAGGTGGAGAGAAGATGGACAGGTCAAGGAAGCGGGATGAAGTCAGTACAGGTGAATGTAGGTAGGGAGTTGGGATGGGGGTTGGTCAGTGAGGAGGGAGGGATGGGTAGGCGGGAGGGAAGACAGACAGGTCAAGGAGGTGAGGACAAGAGGGGTGCTGGTCTTGAGATGAGGCCGGGGTGGGGAGATTTTGAAGCTTGTAAAGTCCACATTGAGGCTAATGGGTTGTAGGGTTCCCTGGCAGAATATGAGGTGCTGTTCCTCCAGTTTTCGGGTGGCATCGTTGTGATACTGGAGGAGGCCCAGGATGGACATGTCAAGTGGTAGATCAAGACATGCTCATACAAAGCATAATCCACGTTGGGGCATGTAGTGCACACAAAACAAAGACGGGATGACTACATGGAGATTGATGATAGGATACCTCACCATGCCATTCGTGTACTGCGCCACAGTGACCAGCACATCAGTGCCAGTTGAGTGAGACTGTACATGTCTGTGGTTGTACCACAACCACACGGTGAATGCCAGAGAGAATCTCTAAGCCAGAGGTGGAGTGTCTTTCATCGAGACGTGACACCGATGGCGAGGGAAACCATGTAAGTAATTAACGGCGAAGACAGCTGTCCCCGAGGGTGAGACATTGTGGAAGTTTCCAACACAAGAATGTGGAGGAGGGGGAAGAAAGGAGCGGGGCGGGGGTGGAAAACGAGATATTTGCAAATAATAACAAACAGACACACGACAAGCGGTTGGACGCCCGTCCACCTCACCCAGGGAGCTGCAGTGAACCGTGAAAGCGCAGTGCCCCACTCCCTCCCTTACCAGAGTAGCTGAATCCTGCTCCGCCATCCCAGCGAGGGGCCCAGGCGCGGTCCCGATCCCAGGCGGCGGCCTCCCTCCGCCGTCTCCTGGTTACCAAACACAGACACCGACAATCGAGCTCCGAACGCTGCTCACCGCCATCCAGCCGTTGGTGATCGACAGCTCATGCCTTAGTCTTTCCCCTGACGCTGCAGCCAGGGCTATTGTCCCTGAGAGATTCACACTTCTCATGTTCACATGTTGGGCAACAGATTGAGCACAACAGAAAGACGTTCGGCCCATCAAGTGCATGCAGCCTCGCTGCAATAATATTCCAGCCTTTTCCCATTCATTTTCCCTTCCTCATACCATTTTTTGTGTATCTCCTCTTGATCCCTCAATTATCAAACGTTCACTCGACTTTCTCTAAGGACATTGCTAGCTTTCCCAGTCTATCTGTGTAATTGAAATCCCTCACCAATGGAACCTTTTTTCTGCACCATCTCTAAAGCTTTCACGTCCTCAGTGATGCTTAGCCTTCAGTTGAAGCTAAACCAGTGTTTTATGAAGCAGCGGCATGAAGTCCTGTGTTTTTCACTATGTGCCTCTACGTATAAAGCCCAAAATCCTAAGAAATTTTCAACCACCTTCTCTACATGACCTGCCACTCGATAAGTTAAATAGGTAGAAAATTAGCAAGGAGGACCTGTAAAGTAGTAATCTCCAGACTACTTCTAGTGCTACATGCAGTAGTACAGAAATAGGAAGACAAGACAGATGAATGCACACCTGAAAACATGGTAAGGGAGGAGGGCTTTAGATTCCTGGGACACTGGGCCTTGCTCTGACCAAGATGGCACCTGTACATCTGGATGGGTTACATATAAACAGAGCCAGGACTGATTTCCTTATGTGGCATTTAGCAAGTGCCATTAGTGAGGATTTAAACTAATTCAGCAGAGATGCAGGAATCAGGAGATGATACTAGAAAGTAATACCAGAATACACAAAATGCTGGAGAAGGAGGTATCACAGAGAAAAGTAAGTTGGAGGAGTCAAAATAAGGGAGAGAGTAATGATGTCTGAATCAAGCTTAAACGACATCTTATGAATGCACAAAGTACAGTTGCCATGTAGAATTGTGATCTTGTGACGATGAAGAAGACCTGGCTTAAGGACGGGCAGGTCTTGCTGTTAAACATTCCTGGTTACAATGTGTTCAGAAAAGCCAAGAAAGGAATAAAGGAGGAGGGGTGTTATTTTTGGCTCAGGAGAGTGTTGCCCTACTGGAGAAAGATGATTTTTCAGAGGCTTGATTTGCCTAAAGCTAAGGAATAAGAAGGGTGAAATTACATTGTTGTAATACATAGGCCACCAGCTAGTGGGGATGACACAGAGGTACAAATCTGCAAGGAGATTGTAGAGAGGTGTAAATAAGATAGAGTGGTCATAATGGATTGAATTGCCTGTAGATCGACTGGGATAATGCTCATGTTAAAAAGCAGCAAGGGAGGAATATTCCTGGATTATGATTGCAAGAATTTCATAAAGAGTATGTGTTGAGTCCAACAAGAAAGGATGCACTGCTGGACCTGGTTCTTGAGAATGAGGTGGGCCAAGTACATGATGTGACATCAGAGGAACATTTAGGGGTCAATGATCACTATATAATAAAGTTTAGGATGACAGTAGAAACTTAAAATTGTTAATCAGCATAAAAATGATCAACTAGTGGATAGCAGACTTCAGTGGGGCAAGAACAGTGGTGGGCTAGACAGACTGGAACAAAAGATTAGCAGGAAAAACAGTAGTTGAACAATGGATAATCTTCAGAAAGGAGATGGTTTAGGTACAGTCAAGGTGTATTCCCTCAAAAGGAAAAGGTAGGATAAACAAATCCAGATTTGCCTGGATGGCAAAGGAAATAGAAACTATATTAACGAATTCTTGTGACAGGTGTTAGGTGGTAAATAAGTTGAGAACCAAGCTAAATACACAAGGTTAAGAAGGGAGGTGTGAAAGCAAATAAAAGAAGGGAAGAGGTGTGATGATAAAAGACTGGTGGCTGACATAAAATTCCAAAGTCTTTTATGAGCACATAAGTAGTGAAAGGGTGGTAAATGGAAGAGTAGGGTTGGTTAGGAACCAGAAGAAGATTTACACTTACAGGCAGGAAGCATGACAGTTGTGTTAAGTTAATATTGCATCTTACTTTATCTACAAGGCAGATGCTGCCCTGGCCATGGTGACTGAGGAGGCACATCAGTCATTAGAAAAGTTTGAAGTTGATAAGGAGGAAGTGTTGTACAAGTTGCCTGTATTTAAAGTTAATAAGGCATTAGGACTGGATGATATCATACAAGGATATAAAAGGAAGTGAGACTGGAAATTGCAGATGCAATTATCTTTCAATCTTCCCTGGATTCAAGGATGGTGCCAAAGGACTGGCGAATTGCAAACATTACGTCCCTATTCAACAAAGGCTGTTACAAGTGGCCCACAAATCACAGACTAGTCAGTTTAAATTCAGTGGTGGAGAAGCTTCTAGAAATAATTATTCAGGATAGAATTATTGGTCACATGGAAAACTGTGATTAATTTGAAAGAGGCAGCATGGATTTGTTAAGGTAAAATCATGTCTAAATAACTTGTTGGCGGTTTTCAAACAGGGAGCAGAGGGGGTTGATGACAGGAAAGCTATTGATGTGATATATATGAACTTCCAAAAGGCATTTGCTACAGTGCCACACAATTGACTTGTGACGAAAGTTGCAACTCATGGAATAAAATGGACAGAACCCAAAAGGGGTCAGACCATTCCAGTGTTTTTGGGTCTATCAGTCGGATCCCCACTGCCAGCACAAGATGCAACCCTTTATAGCTTTCTCTTTATATCCAGCTCAGAGGATAATGCTATGTTCCCAGCTTATGTTATGACTGGATAAGTAGGAAACCTGGCCTGATTTTGTTTTGTTTGGTTAGTCATGGTGGTTAGTCACTGAAACATCTTCAGGCAGGGCTGCAGATTTTCTTTAACGCAGAACAGAAATTTATTACTCCGAAAGACTTCCGTGTTGGACACTGGACATAGTCCAAGGGCACCATTCAGACACACCCCACATCTACACATTTTGGCATTTGACATCCTCTAAGATTCCTTAGACATTTCAAATTCACTTATAGGATGCTTCTACCCTTTAATACTGCTTCTCAGGCTGCATTGCCAAGTATCATTGTAATGTTGCAGCAAGGACATGCACCCAGCTCATGAACTGGACCAGGCTGCATCTCCGGGTGTTTCAGCTGCCCTCATAGTGCTCCCTCTGTGCTTAGCTCAATGTTCACAGTATCCCTGCCTTGCCTTTCTAACGTATGTTTTGCTGCCTCAACCAGCAATACCAGGCTCACACCAGTTCTGTCTTGACATGCCGTTTAGCACAAACACAAAGACAGGAAGCTTGCCGTGGTTGTAAGCAGCCCTCAGTAAAGTCAAGTGGGATGACCTTTGCCGAGGGGGCCCCAGCACATCAAGTCCAGCGTCTCATACCAGAGGACACTAGCAGTCACCTGCCTCAGGCTGTCAGAATCAGAAACCGCTTCACAGAAGGGGTGAGGGAGCCCACTACTTGTCTTGCCTCTACCTGCCCTATTGTGGACTGTTTACCTCCTGGAATGAGAGAGAGGCGGGTATTAAGGGGATAAAAGTGGGTGACACAGCTAACACTTATGGTGCAGATGGGGAGGTGTCTCCAGAGAGTGGTAGGGAGTACGGAGGGTAATCAGGGTTAGTGTTGTCAGGGGTTGGTTGAATGACAACAAGTGAGAGAACTTTTAGAAATGTAGAGCATGGGCCTTACTGAGAGGTGCGTATAATAGCAGAGTAAGTATCAGGTACCAGAGAGAAATTATGACATTTACACTGACAGAATGGAGATTGACATTGACTTTACTCCCCACAATGCTGGCTTTCCTCCAGATGGCTGAGATTCCTCCAACCTGGATGGCAACCTCAGACCAGGTTGGCATTTTGTTTTGTACACTCCATTGCTAATCCTAGGGGAAGAGGAAATTCCAACTAGGCACTGAAATGCGAGGCATTTCCCTCTATCTACCATGTCCATGAAAATATCAGTGTCTGTGCACTGCATCTCTAAAGTGACAGTGCTTGGCTGGGTGCAAAACAGGCTTTTAAAGGTGACTTGGAGAATAAAGGGTGTCACCTAATTCCAGGATATCCCACAGTGATGAGCTGTGTCCAGAATAGTGTGTGGTTATGATCGGGCTGGAATCGGACGGTAGGATGCCAAAACGGTGTGATAGGTAGTTAATGAAGCACCGGACCCGAAATGTTAACTCTGGTTTTTCCTTCACAGATGCTGCCAGACCTGCTGAGCTTTTCCAGAAACTTTGTTTTTGTTCCTGATTTACAGCATCCACAGTTCTTTCGGTTTTTATTTAATGAAGGAAGTTTGGTAAGATATGGCAAGAAACCTTGCTAGGCCTTGAGGTAAAAATTCCCCAAAAACCCTGACACAAGTTGCAGTTAAACCAAAAACAAAATTTAGCCTGTAATTGTTCTCATTTCTAATAACTTGCAGATTTCCAATTAAATTCTCCTGGTGTGGAAGCTGCACAAGATAAACCCTTCTGCTGAAGCAACTTATTCCCTGAACTGTCCTGAATTCCTTCTAGGAAAGAAACTGAACTTGTTTCTGAACTCAACCCTTATTTACTTCTTGAACTGGGTTCAAAAAATTGTTCAAGCCTAGAGTTTCTGAGTTGAAAACAAGACTAATGGCCTTGAATGTTTACCCTACCTGCCCTGAACCTAACAATATAAATAAATTTCAATTAACCTCACAGTGGCCTGTAGTCATCTGTTTTCTGACAGAAGTTGGGTTTAGGTCACTGTTCCAGAAAAGCTCTGATCTTTTTTAAAAGAAAACCCTGTAAGTAATGCACACAAATCTACCATTACTTTGAAATCCAATTTCCAGAAGTTATTTATATAAATATATATATATAGCTTCTCACTACTGTAGATTATCAAGAGCAACATGAATGAGCATTAAATGCTGGCATTGCATGAATGGTTGAAAAGAACAAGTATTTTGATCTCA